TTGGTAGATCTCATTGAGCTCGTCATTTGAAAAGTAGATCTCCAGTCGAAAAATTGTGGGCGCCCCTGATCTACAGTGTTATATGAAGTACTAGGTTTGTTACACTCAGTGACAGACAAAAATGCAAATTGTGCAGAGTTAGAAATAGAATGTGTGCAAGTGTAGTAGCAAATGTTTGTAAATGTTAGGAACTTACCTAAGACTCGACTTCAAGACTGTTAGATGTCAAAGGCCTTTTCGCTGTGTTATGTTCGACTTGCCACCTTGTTGACCTGGTGATACCACTTGGGTTCAGGGGACCAGCCTATAAGGAAACAGAAAATATAATTTGTAAAATTACTAGGCTTTAAGGCATATCAAAATTTTATCCAGCATTCAAGAAAAATTGCTATGCTTACTTGTTTTAATAGGGTCCATGTTATCCACTCCAGAACTGGAAGACATCTCTGTGTTACATCTCGATTGGTGAACGTTAACCTAGGAATAGCATCAGGAATCATGCACTGCTGCTGGTGGAAATCATTGCATTGTAGCTTCCTTGCTGTAGGTTGACTTTATGATGGCATCAGGAATAGGGCAAGAGGACATCTCTTTCTTCTATCTTGCTTGCTCACCGTTAATTTGGGAATGGCTTTAGGAAAGGGTCAATGCTGCTGACCTGGCTGGAGGACATCACTGTCTTGAGGCTGTGATACCTAGGGAGGAAGAAAATATACATAAACACTGGCTACAACATTTACAAAAATGCAAAGAATAATTTTCATTCTATTGAACAACATTTTTAATTTAATTATTTTGCAGCCAGCAGATGAAGCTCCATGCTCCTTTGGGCACGTTTTTGTAAACAACAAATTCAGCCACCAGGTGGCGATCTCAGACATTTCATTTTCACAGGCATGGCATTATTGCAGGGTGGCTCAGTGGGTGATAAAAAGGCAATTCTAGAAAACTCTAAACTGCGTGCAACTTCGTGACTCCCAAAATTGACTTTACCATGCTTACCACTAACATTCTCATACAATATTGTGTGAGAGTTGTGTCAGTGACCCCCAAATAAATTATACCATTTTTGCTATGCCCCAGAATATTTTTTTAAGTAATAATTACTCAGTCATAAAGATAATGCTCGTCCAATTCCACAACCCTGATATTTAAACAGTAACGTATTGAGTGACTGACCACCAGGACCCCAACATAAATGATACCATTCTTACTGTGCCCTAGAATATAGTGCTTTCATTTTGTTTTGTTTTTTGTGACTTTTCTGGTTTATTTGCTGAACAAGATGGCCGCCGGCCCAAATCCCAACATACAGCATTACCACCACGAGCCCAGTCCAGGAGTGAGTGATAGTGTTTGAATTTTCTACTCAGTCAATTATGTTGATTATTAGCAGCTTTTCTGGTACACTTGAAAAGCAAGTTGGCTGCCCGGTGCCCACCCAGACCCAGCAAACCAAACTGAAGACCCCCTTTAAAAAAATATACCGCTCTAACTGTGACCTAATCTGGATATCCATTTTTTATTGTAGTTGGGACGTTATGCAAAGCAGCATAGTTTAGGCTTTTTTTCTTGCTTACTTACTGAGGAAGATGGCCAACAAACCCGCTGCCACATGTCTTTACTGGATGCTCAGCCCACACAGCAGGCAAACTCAGGAGCTCCCAGGGAGTGCCTATGGAGGCTAATTTCTATTGAGTCCACGGAAGGTGCCAATGGGCGGAGGAGGGTCAGGTGGTCCGATGCTGGACGGTTGTCGATCCTGCTGATGTCACTGCCTAGCAATGAAGGACCTAGGCATGGGAATAGTGGAAAGCAGAGGGCATGTCACAGCCAAGTGGCAGCTGTTAATCTGATTGGTGATTTTGAGAAGGACAATGCACTTCAGAACTGATGGCATTTGGATAACTGGGGGCCCTGAGGGTGGAATGATTGGCACGGAGAGGCAGGCATGACATTATTAGTAAGTGACAGGTACAATTTCAGCAAAGAACACAGAGTCGTCGTGTCCCCCACCCCCCTGTTACTTTTTAATGCATTTTTCAGCCACAGTCCCTGCGTTACACTGGGGACTGCAAGTGTGCCCCACTTCCAATAACAGATCAACCAGAGTAACATGGCAAACACTACTAAGCTCTCCTAGGGTAGGATATAGTTCTCAATCATCAAGGAGCAGGTAAAAAGAGCTTCTCGCCATAACACAGTCCAACACTAACTGATAAACCATCACATGCAATCTGTCAAATCTTCTGCGTGCTCTCTCCTGGTTGGAGTAAACCTTACCATAAATACCATTAATAGGAGAGAGGGAAACTGTTACCAAGAGCTCCTTTTGGGAGAATCACTCTACCACTGAAAGGGACCTCTAACATGTATAAAGATTTTGCATGGGAGGTGGAAGTGCCCAGACCCCAGAGTTGGGTTTTAGATATTAGTGAGGGAGCAACTTCTGATATGGGAAGTTGTAATTTAATTTTGCTGATGGTGTCACCTGTAGGGATGAGCAAATGTGACCGGCTTTGGTTCATGAATAGGTTCTCAAATCCTGCTCAAATTTCAAGAACCCCAGTAAAGTCTACAGAGGGGCAGAGATCTTGTTATTCAATTCTTGCCATTCGCAGGGCTAATAAGAAAGCTATTGTCAAAAGGCACAGGAAGCCAGGTACCAAAAGGAAGGACATGTATCTATAGCAGAATTTTAAAAAGAAAAATAATTAAAATCCAGTAGGGGCGATTCAATAAAGCATTTGTGCTTTTCTGGCATTATGGCAGTGGTGGAACTACCGCCGTAGCCGCCCACGCGTCTGCTATGGGGCCCGGGGCAGAGGGGGCCCATTCGGGAGCAGGAGGAAGGTGGCGGTGCAGGTGTCTTTAAGTTCCGTGTGGTCGCAAGTTAAAAACTGAGCGTGGCTGCACGGTGGTTAAGGACACCTGCAAGCTTCCCCTGCCATAGTGTAGTGTAGTGCACAAGGCGGAGTGATCTCCTGTGCCTGAGTTTGGCTCTGACGTCAGAGCCAGCAGGCAGAGGAGTAGAAGCTTGGCCCGGGAGCAGCAGTGGCAGTGCGAGTGTGTGTTTTGCACTAGAGCTGGTACCCACATGGGATGGGGCTAGGCTCTGTATGGGGAACAGTGGGGGGACTGGGGACCATTGGGGTACTGGGGGACTCTGTACCCCCATGCATGTGATGTATTAGTATTTGGTACCCACAGGAGGACTTGCATGGAGGACAGTAGGACAAGCATGTGAATGGTGTATTCATACATTATTGATGTGCATCCCTCAGCCCCCCAAATGTCCCCCGTACATGCCTTCCTGGTCACATGTGGGCGCAATACAGAGCCGTAGCTAGCTCTTTTTGCGCCCGAGGCAAGAACAGAAAATTGTGCCACCACCCCCAATATACGAGTGCGGTATGTGACAACATGTGCCCCGCCTCCAGGATGGCGGCACGTATGTGCCTCTACCCATACAGGTGAGGGAGAGCGGCGGGGATCCGATGAGAAGCTGGAGACTGTGCCGCTCCTCTTCTCCCTGCCAAGCCGCGGCTGTGTTGGCCGCCTGGCACCCCTGTTGCCAATGTGCTCGTCATGGCAACAGGGGCAAGGGGGCACAGCCAGGCCGGCCCTGGCTGTGCCCCCTCTCAGCTGCGCATGAGGCGAGTGCCTCACTCGCCCCATGGTAGCTACAGCCCTGGTACAATATACTGTACTATACCCACATGTGACCAGGAGGACCCATATGGGGGATGCACAAATAAAACTGTGTTTTGCATTTTTAACCAATGCATCCATATGTTGTATGTAGAATGCATATGTTGAAAATGCAATATACCTTGCAGCAATGGTTCAGGAGCATACAATGTATATGCAATACTGTCTGTATTGGCAGTCAGTATAACGTTGGCAGGAATGCAGTTTGTGGGTGGGGCCCATAAAAAACATTTGCTATGGGGCCCTGTGATTTCTAGTTAAGCCCCTGCATTATGGTCATATTAGAAAGTCCTGTGCCAAATTCATGAACATGTGCAACAAATTCAGGTAGTTCTTATGTTCTTATATAGCTCTTATGTGTGACACTTTCACATTCCGCTGCTATGCCTGCTACCTTAAAAAATACCACCATATCCATGATAAGAATAGTAGAGGGAAAAAAGACCTCTTCCATGTTGGAGTAAACTGTGGCCCATGTGTAAGTATTGTGTAGCAGATTACATTTGCAATTCTTCAACACATTCATATACATTTTACAGTTACATGAATCTGACACAAGTTGCAAGGACGTGAGACAGATTTCTAGTGTGTATGACTCTATGCATTCCAAAAAAAGCACTCTAATCTGAAAAAAAACTACTTATGTACTTTTTCCAGTGACAGGCGTTTTTATGCTCGCAACAAAACTCTCAGGTGTGAACAGGGGCCATAGAAATGAATGTGATTCCTTGTCTTGAGCTTTGAGAGCAACAAAACGCCCAGGTGTGAGCGTGGACTTAGGTTGTTAATGTTTAATTTTTTGTTTCTTAACTTTATTTGGAGTGTACACATTCATGCCTCTGCCCGTCAGCACTGTACAATATTTTACCACACCAGCATTGTGGTGTGAACAGGGCACATAGAAAACAATTGTTTCCTAGCAGTGACTGGTGTTGGTCCAGTGTGGAAGCCGCCAGTCATCTCTATATGTGTGAACAGCCCCTATTCTTCATGGATTTCTGCTGGGCCCAGACATGGACCTGTATGAATGCCAATATCTAGAATAGGGGTGGGCAACTACATTTTTACTTTAACTACAAATCCCAGCATGCCTCTGTCTCTGGGAGTCATGCCTGAAGCTGCCAGTCTTGCAGTGCCTCATGGGACTTGTAGTTTCATAACAGCTAGAGGGCGGAGTTGCCAACCCCTGGCCTAGAAGGAATACAAATGACCCAGGTGTGAGCACACCTAGCACGCTGTGCCGCATGAGGGCTTCCAAAGCTATACACGACCTCCGCCAGCAGAGGGCGCCAGAGGTTTGTTTTCTGGTAGCCGCCATTAAACAAAAGGATCCCCTGTGGAGAGAGCGCTGGGTTCGAGGAGCAGAGCTGGGACAGGCCGAGGGTTAAGGGGAGGGGAGAACCGGGTGAAATATCGGGGCAAACCGTCTGCGGAGGTTGAGGAACCGGAACCGGGGCGCTGCAGGCCCACAGGAAGGAAACAGAAGCTCCGGAAGGCCCGGGCTAGGGGGAACTGAGCCTCGGCAGAAGCAGCGGGAGAGGCTGGGACTACCAGCGTTGAACCTCGGTGTCGCATCAGCACAGACCAGAGCAAGAGGGGGATATGATGTTTCCTCAAAGCAATAGCCGCCACTCGGTGAGTAGAAGGCCCGGGCCGGTGTGTGTGTGTGTGTGTTGAGTGTGTGGCGCCTCGTGATTGCACTGTATGGGTGTGCGGTGCCAGCACAGGAGGAGCACTGTGTGCAGTTCTATGTCTTTTCTATGTTCTTCCTATATGTGATTTCATGTATATGTCCTGCACATGTATGAGCCTAAGGCGTCAGATAACGAGGCAGTGTGATCTTGCATGCCCTAAGCATTTCTAACATGATTTATGGCTTGCAGACTTTTTAGATTACATTACATGAACTAATACTCTAAAATCATAGTTATTATTGTAAATATATGGCCACATTTTTGTCATCCAAGTATTGGATGGCGCTTACATGCACACACATTGATGGAGAAAAAAAAAAGGAAGTATGTATAATTTTCCCTGCGGCTGTGTGGGAGAGCTCAGAAACTCAGCGAATGCAAATAGAAGCCTGCTAGGAGAAGAACCCTGGGATTTAGGTAAGGGGGTGGGGTGTTGGGAAACGTGACCATATTTCAGGTTGCACTCTTACTATAGACGTAACATTCTTATACAGGATTTATGTAGCACCAACAGTTTGCACAGTGCTTTTCAATATAGGGAAGACATTACAATTCAAGGCAAGATGGTAAGGAGGGCCCTGCCTGTGAGAGCTTACAATCGAAGAGGGAACATGAACCATGGTGATGGTTGTGTTCTTCTGGCTGCGGCTTCCACTCTGACCTACTGAACACAGGGAGTCACTGGCTCGGCACCGCCGCTATTTAGGGATCACCTTGTCGTTTTTACAATGACTACAAGCTGTTTTTTGATTGGACAAGGTGGAGATCGTGACATCATCTGCCCCTTCTCTTAAGACTCAGACAATCAGTAAGCGCCTTGCATTCACAGGAGAAAAAAATGCACAGGAGGTTCTTGAAATGGTGCCAGTGCCAAACCAGTAAAAGATGGACACCGGCACTCCAAAGCAAATCCAGTACGTCTATTTATTTCATGTACTTGTTGCAAATGCAAAACACAAGATACTAGTGCCAAACCAGTGACTGTGCCCAGTGTGCAGAGGGGAAGGAGCCACAGCCAGAAGCTCACGGCTATATTGCTGTATGTAGAGCAGACTAATACAATGATTTTCAGCATCCCCCGTGACCCTCTGCATATCAAGTTGGATCAATTGGTTGGTTGCAACAACAACAAAAATAAATCTTCCCTGGAGTTCTGCTTTAAAGAGTTGACACTGAAACGTGTCACTTACTACCCTCCTGTTTTCATGACGACTCTAAATTTTTGTTGTGGTTACTAGGTTGTATAGTGAGGGAAAATCTCCCTAGTGGGTAATGCAGAGAATACAAATTTAACAAGGGTTCTTGTTCTCCCACACTGTTTGAAAAGCTAAAAAATAAAGTGTTGGTAATACATATCCCTTAAGGTGTATGGAAAAAGGACCCCTGTCTGGTTTATATCAGGGTTCAATTCGAAAGATTTACCTCACTTCCTGTCCTGGTGACAACTGTTTCACCAGTGAGGGAAGGAGGGACACGGGTAAAAATCAAAATGCTTCCCTGCTTTTTTTTTTTTTGTCTGTTGCATTTGGAGAGTTCTCCTTATGTCTTCTCTGGTAAAGGATTTATAGCAGGTCAGGAAGTAAGGATACATGTCTCTAATGGAGTCCCAGGTAGCAGTATAAATCTGGCAGGTGCTCTAATCCTTCCCCCCACTTTGTTCAAAACCAAGGAAAAAAAAGCTGTTTAAACCGTAATAAACCATTTATTTCCCTTTTAAGTATATCTAAACCAGCATTAGGTAACCTTGGCACTGCAGCTGTTGTGGAACTACAAGCTCCATGAGGCATTGCCATACACTGCCACAGATGAGACTCGCAGAAGCCTGTTGGGATTTCTAGTTTCACCACAACTGAAGTGCTGAGGATGAAGGTAGTTTAGACCAGGAGTCTAAACCCATAGTACAAAAACAAGTATGTGCAGGGCCTAATGCCAATAATAGTATTTGAGTCCTTCTTCTGCATATAACTATCTTCGTAACAAGCTGAACCTGCTGACACATCATGAGCTTGTAGCACCCAGAGGGATGGCATTGCTGGGAGCGTGACAACGCTGCCCCTTCTTAAAGACCCACTTGGGAATCATTGTCACTGTATCACACAAACCATACCTGGCAAGATCAACAGTTTTTAAAAAAAGGAAAGGAAAACAAGATTTAATATGCATAGGTAAGAGGGATCAAGTGCAAGGGAAGGGAACATTTCTTCTCTTAGGGTTTAGATGAAGGTTTGGTAACATTAAAGTGACCCTGTCACCAGAGGAACACGTACAAGGAAAAACACCAGCCCCGTAAAAGAAGAGGCATTATAATTAACTTTCTGGTGGTCTGTATATCAAAACAAAGCTGTTTCACTGCCTTTTCTTTACTGCATCCACACAACAGTGAGAGCAAATCTCTACAAAATGATGGGCATTCCCTCCTAGACAGATGTCCCCATTGGAAGATTTCTCCTGTTTTGGGGACAACTGTAAAATTTGTTTTGGTGAGCAACAGGACAAATGGAGGTGTAGTAGGACACAGACTGCAATAAAAACTTGACATGGGGTCTTATCCTTCCCTTCTCTACACACAACTAAAAATAACGTTTTAGTTGTACATACACTTTAATGTTATTTAAAAAGTCACCCATCTGCTGCTGAAAAGTAGCACTGTGCTAATACAACATGACTACTACCTATATACCTTTCTAATGCCTCATGCACATGGTGATCACAGCTGCGGCAAGAACCAACAGATTCTTATGCCAGGGATCCCAGGTGTGTCTTTACGGATGCGGACACTGTGCCTGTTAAAGTTAATAGGCTGGCAGCGGCCACATCTGTCCATGGCTGTATGCGTGTAATTGCATATGGAACCATTACCTGTGGATCAGGAGAGATGCTTGTCTCTGGACACAATTTGTCTGGACCCAGGGACAAGCATCTTTCAATCTGCACGTAAAGGTTCCATGTACAATTACATGTGGACAGATGTGGTCACGGTCTGCCTGTCATTCATTTGAATGGGCACAGTGGCTGCATCTGTATGGACCCACTTGGGTTTGTTGCCTCAGCAATCCCCAGCCGCAGCTTTGACCAGGGTGTGCATGATGCCTATGTCTGCTGCTGATGGTTTCAGCACTGTTGCAGTTGGCTATCTAGGACTTCAGACATAGTAGCTGCAAATATACTGACATCCATTCCAAATTGTTTGCTAAAAGAAAGGTAATCGGATTTGTGCTTGACTTGGAGCGGACGCTAATTGGTTTCTTGCTTGATGAATTCCCACATTGCGTTAGGTTATTTCTTGTCCTTGTCAGATAGTGTAGAAAGAGTGGTAAACAGATAAGAGAGGATGTGTGTGCATTGTCTGAAGTCTCATCTCTCATCCCCAGGGCTCTTCTCACCTGCCCCAGCAACTCAAGTTCACAACCTCCGATTCCTGTGATAGGATTAAAGATGAGTTCCAATTGCTCCAGGCACAATATCACAGGTAGGAATGTGCACAATCCTAACCCTCAGACAACATTTTTTCCCTATAACACAGTAATGGAACCACTATAAGCTATCCTCCTTGAGCAGTTTCTTGTACAGCCTGGTGCCTATATGTCATGTAGCACCCTATCCCTCAAAAGGGTTTGGAGCCCTTTTTGCATGCAGTTTGGAAGCTGAAATCTCTGCTCATGAGCTGAACATTGAATGTACACAATTGTCACATCACCTTACTTCTGGCCAGCAGCCAAGCCAGCTATTTCTGTAATGAACTATTGTTTCAGTTTCCTTTGCCTCCTTACTCTGCCTATTGATTTTACACTATGCTTACTGATTGTTTTGTGATTATAGAGCAGATTTTCTGCAGATGAAGAAACTTGCAATGTGTTTGATCCTTTATGCTGATATTCATGCTGCATGTAATTATCTTTAATCAGCATGTAATCCATGCTGATGTGAAGGCAACCAAAACTGACACTCTAATATTGGTTGGATACCAGCAAGCTGAATCTGATTTTTCTTTTGTTACCTTTAGCAGCCCCTCCCGTTAAGGCAAGCTGGACTACTGGTACTAGGTTACCTCCAGGACATAATACAAGTTCTATACTGTGGCTGGCAAATGTTGTGACCACACCCAAGATAGAGAAGGAGAGACATAATGTACTGCAATGAAGGCAAATTAGATGCCAGGCACCTTGGTAGAGCGAAAACAGGTGGTAGACTGCAGGTGTAGTCTCTGGTTGTAGTGAAGGTCCGGGCAGACAGTAGAGGTATCCGTGCATGCAGTAGAGGTCAGGAACAAGCAAATAAGCCAGGCACACTAAGGGCCCATTCACACCACGACCAGACCAGATTGTTTCCAGACCCATAATGTATCCCTATGCTATTTCTGTTCACACAAGCGCAGTCCGATCTAGACCAGAAAAATACTGCTTCTCTCATTTTGTCTAGTCTGGAATGTACTGGAACTGCGGGCAGGTTCACACTATTTTCCGGACCATATCTGGCCCAGGAAATGGTGTGAACCTGCCCTTAGTCATCAGGTAGCGCTATCACAAGCACAGAGCCACAGGCTAAATAGGTTTAAATATGGAGCTGCCTGTGCTAGGAACTAATCCCAGAGCCAGTTGGTGTGCATCCAAACTGGTTGACCAGCAACTGATTCCTGTGCCTCTGTTGTAAACTTTGGAAGATGAATTCCTCCACAATGCCTTTAACTACAGAGGCGAATGAGGGTTTGTTTTAAATATGTCGATAATAAAGTGTGCATAGTCTGGGGACAAGTTCACTCTTACGGTAAAACATAAGGCTTTGTTTGGAGTATTAAGCACAGCATATAGCAGTTTCTGAAGTCCATATGCATAGTTTATTGATCTCAATTTCCTGTATTCAGAAAACGCAAAGAAAACATCAGCTGTCTGATTCTAAGATGTCTGGGGTATACTTATGTGGGGGAAGCTTTCAGTGGTTAAATATTTCATGGAAATAAATGATTAAACACATGTGATATTTTGCTTGTTGCATGGTATATGATCATGAGATAACATAACTATCCCAGTGGAAATTACTCTTGTAGCTTATTGAAGTCTTGTGTTGCTCAGTTCAAAAGATAACATAGTGGGGCATTCCTGGTGCATTAAAAGTTGGTCATATGTCTTACTGCCATTATTCTAAAGCTGGTCATACAGCTGGTTTACAGTGTAAGTGAGCAATTCCCTTTTTTACATCTACCAAAACTTTGTCATTTGAGGGCATACTTTAACCTCCATTCTATTTGTATTGAGTCAGACTATTGCAATGCATAGTTGATGGTAGGTAGTCATGTTTTCTACCTGTCAGTCGTGCAACGCTTCATGTGGTTTGTACTTTCACCACAACTGAAGGCCAATAGTTTGCCTAACCCTGTTCTAAAGGATGTTCTAAAGTGTATGCATAGACTGTTTTTAGTGAGGCATATGTAAGCACCCTATTATGTTCAGTTATTATATTGATTGATATCAGCCACCTAAAGTTTGCAATAATTATAGAGCTCTCTCGCGCTCTCTCTCTCGCGCTCTCTCTCTCGCGCTCTCTCTCTCTCGCGCTCTCTCTCTCTCGCGCTCTCTCTCTCTCGCGCTCTCTCTCTCTCGCGCTCTCGCTCTCTCGCTCTCTCGCTCTCTCGCGCTCTCGCGCTCTCGCTCTCTCGCGCTCTCGCGCTCTCTCGCTCTCTCGCTCTCTCGCGCTCTCGCGCTCTCTCTCTCTCTCGGGAGCTCTGGCTCTCTCGGGAGCTCTGGCTCTCTCGAGCTCTCATATTATTTATATAAAGCTGATACCATGTTCATATCTTCCCTTTTTTTTCTGCTGTTGATGGAAGTTTTAGGCACTAGCTGGATCATTGGGCATTTTTGATTAAGATTATAACATTAAACATAATATAAATTAAACAGTGCTGTTTGTATTCTTACATTGTTTAAAGCATATTTTAAAAAACACAAATATTTTGGAGGCAACCAATCCCTATATGTAATGGTTGGATTTGTTTTGCAAGCCATATTCCACAAATACCCTTTTGATTTTTGTGGAAATGCAGTGCCCTTATCAATTCCTGTGAGCTTAGTAGGAATAAAAAACAATCCTATATATTTTTTTTGTTTTACTCATTTCATCAACTACATTGTAATGGAGATGAACAAAGGCAGACATGTTTGAAGTCCAGCTTGGGTGACAGCAATGGCTCCCTCCATGTATACAATGGAGAAGCGAGTGTAGCCACAAAGGGACAGAGTGTTATTCACATGAATACTAGATGAAAACAAATGTAGACACCTGAAAATAGAAAACATATTCAACCCCTTATCTCGGGACTGGTTAGCTGCGGTATATTAACACGCTACTTGTCAGTTGGGTGTGGTGTGTTTTTTGTTTGTTGGGAAAAGTTCAGTTTCATCTTGTCAATGCTCACCGGTCTACAAGATATTTGGTACATGGAATGCAGTTTGTCAAAGATTTTACCAGTTTATCCGTGCATCTGTACTGCCTGTTTATTAATTTATGTTTTCCAGTCTCAAATTGGAATGTGACAAGTTGGCCAGTGAGAAATCGGAGATGCAACGACACTACGTCATGGTAAGTTCTTGGAAAAAGAACTGTTGCTCTTTGACCTCAAATATTGTCACTTTTAATACTTGCCACATAATAGCCATGGTTTTGTGTTGGATACTGCCTTAGCAACACAGTGACGTGCCCTCATTTTCAACTTATTCTTACATTTTCCAATGTTTAGATATTTTCTGAAGTCATCTGTCACTGAGTTGCTTGGCTGTTAAAGGTTCTTATTATAACCTAAAAACAAGTTTTGCTATTGTGCACTTCATAAGTCAAATTGGATTTCTTAGAAGCCATATGTATGACTGGATAAGGGAAAAAATGTGATGGTGCCTGTATGCATTTTATTTTTTATTCTTTGGGCGCTATTTTTATTGTTTAGTTTTGTAGGGCCTTTAGATTAGTTCTAAAGTTTGCCTACACATGTTGAAATTAGGCTGCCTAAGACATCTTGGCAGGACAAGGTCTTATCTGCAGCAGATTTTACTATTCCTAGTGATGTCCTACCTGCAACATCAAAAACATCTTGTATCTTAGGTGTTTCAAGGCTTGTATATAGCCTGTTCCTAGGATGCAAGGTCTTCAGAATCCTCTCTGCAGGGAGATATTGGGAACTGAGCGATCAGCGGTATGTGATCGTCCAGTTCTCGATCAATAGAGCTGACATATGACAGCTTCAGTGTCACACGTCTGCTCTAACCATGGGGATGAGTGTATTTCGCTCTCCCCATAATTCTCCCTTTAAACAATTTCTACTTTCTGGCTAAGCCATAAATATTTGAATTTAAAGACTTAAAGTGAGCCCATCCTGGAAATAAATGGGGACTGACATTACTGACCTCTCCTTCTAGAAAAAATGATAGTTGTCTTGGTGATCAGTACTTCCGGAGTCCCTGGAAAGTCAAAATTGTACACACTTTTCACACTTCAAGTCATTTTATTAAAAGAATAAGTGCATTTTCAAACAAATTGCACTTCACGCTACCCCCTTGCCTAACCTGCATACTTACTGAAATCCAGCGCTCATGGCCTTCCATGTGGGTATATAAGCTCTCTTCTGGCAATGCCTGCTCATTAAAGCTCCATAGAAGATTATAGGGCTCGTATCCCTGCATCTCTCGGCTGGCACAGACAGGAGAGGTAGGACTTTAGTGCGGGATGTAAACGCAGAAGGGCACGGGCACCGGATCTCAGTAAGTGTGCAGGGGGAGGGAGAGATCTGTTAGGTCAGGGGAGAGGGAAAGAAAGTGCACTTATTCTTTAAAGTATTGAAGCATTATGGACAGCATGACATCCGGCCAATTATTATTTTCACTAGCTCGGTAATGGCAGCTTTCAGGTTTCTTTTAAATGATAGTTGTGTCCAGATATAACGGGGTATTATAGCATATTCTGATAAATCTGTCTGGTGACTGATAGACAAGCATGGTGGTTCTCAGCTGTCATCTCTGGGACTGCTTGGTAACCTTGATAAGAGGCACTGGTGGAATTTATCAAAACTGGAGCAGCTGTGCATGGCAACCAATCCGCTTCTCTCTCATTTTCAAAGCTTACCTGAACAAACTGAAGAGAAAGAAATAAGCTGATTGGTTGCCATGCACAGCTGTTCCAGATTTTGTTTGCTCCGGTTTTGATAAAGTCCCTTCACTGTCTCTGTGTAAAGCTGCACCCTGACTACATTACACTCACCTCTCCAGTGCTCTTATGCCACTCTGTGGGCTGGTGTCTAGAGGTGATGACACCCCTTCACCACATGACAGCACTAATTCCTAGCAGTAGACCACTAGGTCTAGGCACTGCATCATGAGAGGTGGTCACATTCTCCCCATACCTGAAAGCATTTGGTTTTTGCAATGGTGGGGGAGTGCAGTAGAGGTGATTTTATAAAGTGGTTGGAGTGGCCTTTACACTTTGACCTGAATGGGCAAGTTGAGATTTTCTGTAAGCTATATGGACACCATAACTCTATTTCGGACAGAACAGACACTGTTGGTCAATGAACAGTCATCATTGCTTGAAGCAATGGCTGACACCAAATATCACATGTAGCTTTCTACGTAGTTTTGTTTTTGTTTTCTGTTTGCTATTTCACCATAAATTTAGTCTCCCGTAGTTTTAACTTCGAGTGCCTCAATAATGGGATATGGTATGCCCTGTTTGATTTGAAGCCCTGGTTGTTAAAAATTTATTTGCACATTGGTTTGCACATTTCTGACCCATGATAGTACTTGCTAAAGAGGCCAGCTTCTCAATTAAGGAGTCTTCTCTGGTGCCAAGAGTTTTGTGATCAATTTAGGAGGCCTTCCTCATTTTATCCCCTTTGAGAAGCTCTTTACTCCCTCAGTTCAGGGCAATTAGGTCTTTAATTATGTCTGCCAAGATGTAGCTGCAGATGGTTAAGCAGCCAGCAATGCTCCTGCTTCACTTTAACCCCTGAGGGCAATTACAGAAACCTTCCTGTTTGTATATGGAGTAATGATCCTTCCCTCCTAAAATCCACCTCAAGGGACCATAACAATTCCAAGCATAAACAAGCAGAGCTTGTGTGCAAAGATGCTTTATTTCTGGTTCCTATTCTGCTTAAAATTGCTTTCAACAAATGCAATTCAGCTTGTCTCCATCAGAGTGCTGGAAGGAAGGGGTTATGTTAGATGGCTGAAGCCTTTCCAAGACGTGGAAGCAGGAAAAACTGGAGCTTGAGTAGTGCATAGCTGTCTGCCAAAAAATAATTCCACCCCCCTTCCCCTCTCAGCAGGTCTCCTGGCTTATCCCTCTCTTGTGGGGTTATGCCATTCATTCACTCTTCCAGACAGCTGCTTGTTCCAGGATGGGGAGGGGAGAGGGCCAGGGCAGAGTGTAAATCTGCCTAAAAATCTTTCTGGGACTTGTAAGACAAAGAGGTCAGACTCTGGGGAGGAGGTGAAGGGGGGGCAGCTTCCCAGACAGGGGATCATTGTATATTAACTGTTTCAGACCAACGGGTTACATTGATGTGTATATACTGAAAGTCAGGTTTTTTTTTTTCTGCATTTATGCAGTTCAATTCGTAAACTGTTCCTCTTGAAATTCCCTGTTGGCTGATATCATTCCACTTCACCTGCAGTGTCATGACATGAAAATTGAAATATATTGGTTGGGGGGGGGGGCGACTTATTTGCTTG